TGTGATGTTGCATTTTTTTTTGTTTTTTGTTTTTTACTTTTTAATATTCTGTCATTTGCTAACTTTCGGGGGCGGGGGGAGGAGGAATCATACAATACAACACCATGAACTTGGCAATCACGGTGAGATACTCAGGCATGTAGGACCCACTAAACGCCTTCTGGACCCCGGTATGTGTCTAAGTCAGATGTTCCACATTGCTGGGTGTGAGCAAGGCCCCATCCCATTCCATCAGGGACCAGGCCAGGCCATGGCTGGAGGGCAGCTTCATATTTACCATAGTAGGAGTACTGCAAGATATGGCTCTCATCTAATATGTGTTCACTTTTGGAAGCTCCTGAGTGTTTAGAAACTTGCCTGTAGACAGCAGGTGAAGCTACTTATGACTATCTGGGGACAGTATTCTGACTCAAGGCCTAATTCATTCTAAAGACATCGCAGACACTTGTTTAGCTGAATTTCAGGACTGTAGCTCTTCCTCTTTATCAGCCACAGCAACTGTTCTTTCTGGTCTTGGCGAGAGATGCAGCCCGTGTTCGGGGGTAACATGGCCAGAACAGTACTGGCTAGCTCATTAATGCCGAACTACAGCATAGTTCTAATACTAGTGTAACATGGAAAGCTTGCCACATCCTGACGGTGTTTAAATTTATTCCTAGAGTTCTATAGGGCTGAATCTCGGACTCCTTTCGTTCTATATTCTGTCTAGATTATCTCATTTAATTCCTGCCTTTCAATACTGTATTATGTCGGTGGCCCAGACATCTCCCCTGGACTCCAGACTCATGTAGCCAACTATCCTACTTGACTCTTCTGTTAGAATTCAATGGGCAGCTCAGACTCCACAGGGGCCCCCAAATGGAGCTCTTGCTTTTTCCTTCCAAATCTTCCCTTCCCAGTCTCCTCATCTCAGTCAGTAGCTACACCATTTGACCAGTGACTCAAGCCAAAAAATTCAAGTCATCTTTGGTTTCTCTTTCCTTCATGTCCACCCTGTAGTCCACCATCAGTTCCATTCTTTTTACGTCCAAAAGAACTCTCAAAGCACTCTGCTTCTCTTCATCTCCTCTATCCGCCCTAGTCCAAGCCAGCGCCTTCTCTTTCCCAGGTGACCACAAAACTCTTGACTTCCTGCTTCTGCTCTTCCCTCTCCAGTCCACTCTTATCCACACAGCCAGTGTGAGCCTCTGTCCGCCCTCTGCCCTGACCCTTTAATGGCTTCCCACTGCTCTTAGAACAAAAAACACATTCTTCACCATGACCTGGAATGACCTCAAGTGGCCTGTTTTTCCAAACTCACCCTATCCCCCTCTCTGTTCCTCTTACTGGCCTCCCTTCTGTTCTAAGCCCTCCTGCAGGCCTGTGCCTTCCTCTAGCTTTTCATTCAATTGGTTCATTCTAGTTCTTCAGGACTCAGCTCAAATATCACGTTTGTGGAGGGGTTTCCTTGTCTAGTCCATCTGAATAAGCTCCTGTTGGGAGTCCCCGGCTCATTAGCATATTTCATTTCTTCACCTGCCTCAGTAAACATTTATACTGCTTGTGTCCACTTCACTACATTCTCTCAAATAGTGGTCATGTGACCCCCTATCATGTTGTAGGGATGTAGCATGGACCAGACAAAGTTTCCTATGCCATGGAGCTTGCTTTCAAATGCCCAAGAGAGACAATAAGACAAATAACAAGTAAACAGACAATGTAATGTCAGGTGATGAACATGCTTTGAAGGAAAACAGGGTAAACAAAATGAGACAGACAGATGATGCAGACAGTAGGTGACTGAAGGCTATGTAAGAACTAATGACTGATAAGGAAACATCCCAAATAAATGAGTAATGAGTGTTTTATTCAAGAAATGAACTATTTTGAGAAAATTAATTTTAAGCCATATCTCACAGCATAAGTTCCAGGAGGCTTAAAAAGCTAAGTGTGCAAATGAAACCATAAACTAGGACAAAATTACCTTATCTGTGGGTGGGTAAGAATGCTGAGTCCATAAGTATGGAAAGAAACTCCATGAAATGATTGATCAACTACATAATAAATATTTCTGTGTCAGAAGAAAATTATGAAGTTAAGAAAGTGAACAAATTTGAGGAAATGCTTGCTACAAATGGGAATAATAGAAAGGCTGATAATGTTAATATCCTCAATTCTAAAGCTCCTTTTTCCCCTTGCATTTTAATATTTCTTAAAATTGGGATATGTTTTCCAATCACTATGTACATTTAATGTGATCACTAAAAATGTCAAATCAGTGGTTTATCTTACAAGTAATAACATCTTATAATAAAATATTTTTAAGTCCATAAAAATCAGTATGAACATTAAAGTTCCTGGTAGGAAATAGCACATTCATTTAACAAATATTTGAACTTTTGTGCTGTAGCAAAGAGGTGGGTGTAGAGTGGTAAACAAAATATGCAAAAATCCTTGCTTTTAGTGCCTTCTCCAGGCACTGCTTGGTGTGCCCTGTACACCGCTTGTATCCAGTCTAAGATCAGTTGGGCTGTTTCAGCAAGAATAAGGACCTTGACCAAGGCCACGCCGTAGTTTAGTGATAGGAGCAGGTCCAACTGGGTCTGCGTGGCTCTAAAGCCAGTGCCCTTTCCTCACATGACCAGAAATGGTGAGCTCAGTGGAGCTTTCACACTCAGTGTTGGGGACAGCGCTGTCACTCCTGTGCCCTTTTCCTTCTCACCTGCCTCAGCACTGGGCTTTGGGCTCAGTAAGTGAACTGTCGGTAGAAGTAGAAAGCATTAACAAAAAAGCATTTCAGTGGACACATACAAAGTCTAAATATACATTATTTAGGTGCCCTCCGGTATGCTTTTAAAACTTGTACTAAGTCATATGTTCATTTAAATTTGAACAAACATTTCAGCAATGAAAAAGTAAACCAATGTACAGCTCTAGATTTTGGGAAGGACAAGAAGGAAAAAGAACCAACCGTAACCGTTCTCAGCGGCTGAGAGGCGTGTAATTAGAAGGTGTCCTGAGTTGAGTTGGGTTCTGTGGAAGCAGACCCCGTGTTGGGGAATTCTTGTCCAAGTGACTTACGGAGCAAGTGTTCTCAGGAGGAGAGCGGAGCAGTGGGCGGTGGAGAAGAGTTAAGTAAGGATGTGGTCTCCTCTTTAGATTCGCTTCCACCTGGTCCCACGGGGAGCTCTGGAGCACCAAGTGTGCCAGAATGGTCCCTCACTGAGGCAATGGTCCCTCACATGAGGCAGCCATTGGCCCCATGCTGCCTGGGAGTCAAGTGTAGCTTAACCTACCCAAAGTGGCTGGGGACAGCTGTGAGCCATTATTGGACAGCTCACAATATCTGGGCATGGGTGCACTGCCCAGTACAGGGATCTGGGTGGGATGACAAAGGGTTAAGAGATATAATGGGAAATGATTACCAGACACTAGCTTTGTCAGAGAATGATACTGAATTACTATAGCTTTTATACATTTTTTTTTAAAAAAAATAGATTTTTATTGATTTAAGAGAGGAAGGGAGAGGGAGATAGAAATCAATAATGAGAGAGAATCATTGATTGGCTTCCTCCTGCACATCCCACACTGGGGATCAAGCCCACAACCATGGCATGTGCCCTTGACCGGAATTGAACCCGGGACCCTTGAGTCCACAGGCCAACGCTCTATCCACTGAGCCAAACTGGCTAGGGCCTAGCATACATTTTAATTCTAGATTTTTCTCAAATCATTTTGCACATTGATACTTTCTTATGAATTCATTTTTGCTAAGTGCTTTGCATAGAATGTCCAACTATATAATGGTGGATATATGTCATTATATGGTTGTTAAAACCCCTAGAATGTATAACACCAAGTTGAACCCCGATATGCACTGTGGTCTCTCGGTGATAACGATGCATCCATTGGAGGCCCATTGATTGTAATAAATGTCCCACTGTGGTAGGGGGTGTTGACATGGTGGGGGTGGGGGGCTGTTTGTGCTGGGGCATCGGTTATATGGAAACAGTCAGTACTTTCCGCACATTTTACTGTGAATCTAAAACTGCTCTAAAACATAACATCTATTTTTAAAAGTATAGAACTCTGCAGAAAGCTGACCCTTCTGCTCAGTCAGTTGTCTGTACATAAAGACCAAGACAATGTTCTGGCAACATTTAAAAAATAGAATTCTCTCCACTTGGACATCCATTCCCACCATCTCCAGTGTAATTGATTGTCTAGTTGACGGGAAAGTTAGTTTGGAAATGCCACCCTGACCAGGCCAAGCCCTTGGTGCCTCAGAGGGCCCTCAGGGAGGTTGGTTAATATAATCAGAATAGTCTATGATTGCATCTTGTTGAGCAGGCATTATTTAAAAACAGTATATTTGGTTTAATGGTTTTCTTTTCATATCTGTCTGCACAGAACTTAGGAATATATTTCAAGTTAAAGTACAGTAAGAATCGAGTGAATAGCATCCATTGATGGCATAATAAATTCCTTCCATACCTTTATTCACAGCACAGAACTCATTCTAGGCCATGAAGGATACCTACCTAATGCACACACAATATTTCAGGTTATGCGCGTGCATGCGCGCACACACACACACACACACACACCTTCCTTTAAAGAAACAACAAATAATTATCCACTCCATTTAAAGTGGTTGACTCATTTCCAGAATGCCTATTGCTGTTATATAGATTCAGCCTACTAATAGCATTTAACGTGTGAAGCTTTTAACCAAAACTTCTTAGAATTATTTTCTGATATTAACATAAAATGCTCGTTGGGTGTGTTTTATGACTTTAATGGACAGGCATCTCCCCCGCAGGAAGCTACTTCAGACGGAAGCTAATATGGATGAAAATGAAAACTAATAACTTTTATGAAATTACAGTGAGATTTGCCCTATAAGCTGCTTAGCGTTTCCATGGAAACGTGATCTGTTGAGCTTTGTTTTAGAAAGTGTGATTCCCCGGAGATGAGAAGGGCTTTCTAATGCTGTTTGTGGGTTGTCTTTCCCCTCGCAGGCCTTGAACCGGGGCATCGCGGCTGTCAAGGAGGATGCGGTGGAGATGCTGGCCAGCTACGGACTGGCCTATTCCCTGATGAAGTTCTTCACGGGTCCCATGAGTGACTTTAAAAATGTGGGCCTGGTGTTTGTGAACAGCAAGCGAGACAGAACCAAAGCCGTCCTGTGCATGGTGGTGGCCGGCGCCATCGCCGCGGTCTTTCACACCCTCATAGGTAAGGCTGTGGCCCAGCTTTGGTCATTTCGCATTCCTTTACATTTATTTAAATGTATGTGTTGTAATAAGTGATTTCTTCAGTAATTATTAAATCTTTCTCACGCAAATTTCAAGAGCCGGAGGGAATGGAGCTCGTGCTCCTAGCTCAAGAAAATGATGGGGTAAGGCCTGGTGGCTTGCCTTTTTAATGTAGCCTGGAATGTTGTGTGTTTTCTCTGGGAAAATGTAGTTCTGTTTCTCTGATTCCCGCAGAGGGAGAGATTTCATGAACAAGTGATGCGGTCTAGGATCAGCATTCAGTAAGGCCCACAGGAGAGCGGGTGCTTTTGTTAGAGACGTGCATTATTGTACACTCACTTAATCTGAAGAATTAAAATAAAGTTATTTAAAATGAACACTTATCCGTAGTGAGAACAAATGACAGATTATATATTAAAATTAACTTCTTCCAAAGGGCTTCGTTTTTCTGTTTTATTCAAAGACAAGACTAAGTACTTTTGGCACAACATTCTTCCCGTGAAACAACAAGGAAGCCGTATCACATATATAGTCACTTGCCTACAGTTTCACCAGGGCCCTGGAAAAGCACCTACCTTTAGGGCCACAGCTCTGCGTCTACTGCCTTCTCAGTGGTAATAAAACCCAGAGGCCATAATTTCAGAACTTCATGGCTTTTAAACAGCTTGGCTTACCTGGTGTAAAAATTGAATGGCACATGTATTGAACCCATTTGCCCAGAACTTGCAAACGACACTTCAGAAACCCCTTGTGAACCTTAAAACCAGCACTGGTTGAATAAAGGAGCCAGGAGATTAACCCAAGCCATTTACAGTGTACTCAGATAGCAGCTAATGCTTACTCACATAACTGCGAATCTGAAAGGAAATGGGGTAAGGCCTTACCTTTTTAAAGTAGCAGAGAATTTTGAGCTAAGAGCAGTGGGGATGGAAAGACGCTATGCATGGGCCAAATGTTCGGCCAAAGTGTTGATATTCACCATTTAATTTGGGCTCAGAGCTGCAGGGCATGGGTTGAGAGGAGGAGCTTATCTTTCCCCAACATACGCCCTGAATACTAACTTGTGGACTAAGTTTTGAAGAAAACTTCTGCAGCTAGATTTGATCTGGGCCATTTTCAAAGATGACGTGTGTATTTGAGAAAACTCCATAGATGACATATGTCTAAGCAGGTAAATTCGTTCCCTTTTGCTGCTAGTCTTTTTATATGGATTTCTGAATGAACCTACCACTCGGTCTCAGTCACGGTTGAATAAGACTTTGGGGAGGAATAGCTTATTAGTAGCTGTTAGTAAATATGGGAGAGAAAAGTTAAGTGTCCTGTGTCATTGAAACCGTTGTGAGGAGCATGTGGTCATGGAGAAAAATGGCAATGTCATTTTCAAGTTAAATCTAAGTTTTTCAATTTTAAAATAGAATAATAAAATCTTAAATTTGACCCAAAATGGTTTTACATACCAGATATATTTAGCAATCCTTTTTTTCCACTTTTAATATTTTTATAATCTTAGTTCTTTTTCTTCCACCAAACAGATGCTTTCTCCAATTGCTGAGAAAGCACATGTCAGTTTCTTTGAGCACTCAACACTCAGATTTTAATGATTTGCCCTCTTTCTAGTTTGTTGGCCTCATTTCACTTTTCTGCCTAAACCTTTAATCACTCTTGCCTTCTGCTGTCTGCTGCATCAAGCATCTTTGCTCCCCTTCCTCCTCCTTCTTTTTTTAGTAACCCCATTAGCTTTTCCATACCTGGGTCTTGTTCATTTATTGTTTCTCACTAACTTGACCACAGGCTCCCGACGGCATGTTGCTCTGTCACCATCCCCAACCTTTTCCAAAACTATTTTTCTACCATCAATAAACACCCTCCCCATTCAGATTCTACTTTATGTGTCAACTACATAGACATTTAAACCCATGTTCACGTCTTAGTCATGCTGAAAACAGCTACTTACATTTCTCCTTTAATAATACCTCTTGGATAGCTATGCTTGTGGCAGGGGAACAGTGACATAGATAAACCAAAAAGGCAAATATTCCCAATACATTGGACTCAAGAAGTCATTGTGGGCTCTCAGGCCATCTTCCTAACGATACTTAGTTAGACTGATATGGAAATGAATATCTACTCCATTCATGCACAGCTCCTGAGGGGCCTGCAGGAAGATATATATATATATATATATATTCACAAACTCACCAGGTTTAACTCACAGAGTGGAAATATGAACCAGGGGGAGCCAGGCTTAAAACCTAACTTCTCTACATTCTTTCCTTCAGGTGAAACTAGCCTAATGGTCTTCAACTTTCCCTTTTAGGTGCTATTTCCATCGCCTTAATGAATTTATTTTTTAATCAAGATCTTACAGTTTTTCTTTTAACTTTTTAAAAAAATATTTTTTTTATTGATTTCAGAGAGAAAGGGAGAGGGAGAGAGAAAATAGAAACATCAATGATGAGAGAGAATCATTGATCAGCTGCCTCCTGCAAGCCCCCTACTAGGGATCAAGTCCACAACCTGGGCATGTGCCCTTGACTAGAATCCTTCAGTCCACAGGCCGACTCTCTACCCACTGATCCAAACAGGCTAGGGCAAGATCTTCCAGCTTTTCAATGGCATTTATATGAGGACATGTGAGCATAGAGGAGGAAGTGATTCCTTCTCTCGGGGGTTGATTTGGAAAAGCCTCCTGGAGTGAGTGGGTCATCTCTTCACTGGCTTTGAATGCATTTGTATTTCAGGACAACTCTTTCTAATTTTCCCCTTCTCTTTGATATAAGACAGAGTCGAGAATTTGACCCAGTGCTCTAAATTAATATTTTGCTCTAGCCATGTAAAATTCCAAAAGGTGGCTCATGATTGTAACAACACCCTGGTGTTCTGCAGTTTTTCAGTTTCATGGCCAACTCTTCTCACCTGCATGGGTTTAGTGTTGCCTGACTCCCTACTACACATAGATGTAGAAACCACTGCTGTGGATTTATTTCTTTACACATCTATTCTCAACAGTGACCTGTAAGCCTCTTCCATGTCCAAAACTGCCTGGGCAGTCAGCAGAGCTCAGAGCAACAACAGTTTTGCCGTGAACAAGTGAAGTCATTTCTAGAGTGGTTCTGTTTCTCAGTCTTCCCTTGTCAACAAATTTTTCCATTATTCATGGATCATAAAGCAGCCCTCTAAAGGGTGAATTGGTACAAGTTGATGTAATTTAAACCAACGAGGGGGCTAGGAGTGAACGGGCAGTTTCAGTACAGTCTCACAACTTATTGCTATAGAACAAACCACCGCTATATTCAGTGGTTCACAACACAAGCATGTATTCTTGCTCACCAGACCATGGGTTAGCTGGGTGGTTCTTTTGGACGATGGTTGTGCTCATGCCTCTGTGGTCAGCTGACAGGAGCAGGCTCTGCTGATCTTGGTGGGCTCGCTGGGGGGCTGTCAGCTGACTGTAAGCTGGTCTAAATGGCCTCTGCTGGAACATTTTTGCAATCAATCTGTCCCAATCACCTCTTTGGAGGTTATGGATTCATGAATTTATTCAATCAATATATAATGAGCACCTCCTATGTGGCAAACACTGGGCTAGATCTGGGAATTCAGACATACTAAGGCCTGTTCTCTAGAGAAAAACAGATATTATACAAAAATCATTACAAAACTCTCTCTTCCATGTCTTGATACCAGTGAGATAGAATTGTTGTTCTTATATTAATATTCCACATTAACTTTACTTACTTTGTGTATAGGTTTATGCTACCTGTCCAGGGCCTGGGCAATGTTTGTACCTCTCATCCCCATATCTTCTAGATGAATGTTGCACAGTGCAGATTATGGATGAGCTGATCATATATGTCTATGACCCAGCCTGATGCAGATGACCGAACTCTCTACAGCTATACGTTAGGTGGCACACTGCCCGACATGCAGAAGTCATTCAACCACTTTTAAAGTGATTTCAATATCAGTCATGCAAACACACCACTTTGGAAATGATACGTTAGAGACACAGGGGTGAAGTTACCGGCCCCTGTGTCTAATAAACAGAACATAGTGAGCCAATCAGTAGTGAGACTTTCACGCTTCGGAGCTTGGGGATTTGAATTAAAATAAGGTTTCTCAAATTTGCCTCTTGGAAATAAACATATTATCCTGTTCCTAAAATGGGAGGAGGGCTTTCTCCTCGATTCCATGGGAAAATGCAGGTATATAGACTTGTTTTGGTGAATATTAATGTTTCATGGCCTTTTGCAACAAGGGCTGGTTAATTACTGAATGAACAAGCTCGAGAACCACTGATTCTGAAAAGGGTCCATGACCCTGGCAGGCTGAGGTCAGAGGAGCCCGGATGTGGATGGGCCCTCTGGTGTCTTCTTGTTTGGGCAGTCAAAGCTGCCGACCTGTAAACAGGTCAGGCCAATGTCCTCTTACTGCAGCCCCGGCAGGAAATCCATTTACATCTGCTTAAACACCTTGTTCAATTTTCCTGTTTAACATTCTGCTCTTCATAAGGACTACAAGCTGTTTCAGAACAATCTTGGGAAGGCAGTGTAGAGACGTTGAAGGTTACTGGATGTTGTTGAGGCAGCTAACCTGGTAATTAGGGACTCCATGCAAAGCCCTTTAAACAAATTACCCCCAGCCAACAGCACAGCCACAAACAGCTCCAGGGCACAGGCTGGTAGGGAGGGGGGGTGGCACAGACAGCTGCTCGGATTTATATCCCTGCTCACAGGGGGGAAACAACCTTTGCAGTTATGATCAGTCTCTTCTTCTGCGTGTAGGGGAGGAGTGAGGAAAGAAAAAAACAGGAGAAAAAGCTTTTCTTGGCCTCCAAATTTTTCTAGTACCTAAAGGAGGAAAAGAAGGGAAGAGAAGCAAAGGTAGCCTTGGACCCACCGGTCCCTACATACGCTGGGACCGGGACCCTGGAGAGCTCAGCACCAGCTGCAGGCTGCAAACAGCAGGGGTGAGAGGACCCTGCTGGCTGCAGGAAGCTGGCGGGGCTCAGCACCATCAGCCTCAGACCCTGCTAAGCTTTGAATATTTCCTGCATTACTCTGCAGAAAGGCCTGTTTTCGCTGCTTTAGTCACACTCTTCTAACATGAGGAGGAATATTTATCAAGGGCTGAGCAGCTCATTTGCATTGATCTCTACCCTCCCAGGCCACACAGCAAACATATGCCCGCGGTCAGCACAGGTCCCATCTTTCCTGCCGCTGCCCTGGAGTCTCCCAGGAAAAGAACCCTCTCCCTTTCCGAGGAGCCGCCTGTGTGCGCAGCGTGGGCAGCTCAACAACAGAAATGGGCTGCCTCCCAGGTCTGGAGGCCAGAGGATCAGGTGTCGCAGGGTTGGTTTCTTCTGAGCCGTGAGGCCACCGGTCCAGGCCTCTCCCCGCTCCTGGTGCTTTGCTGGCACCCGCGGCCGCCCTTGGTCTGTGCAGGCGTCACCTGCCCTCTGTCTCCCCGTCCACGTGGCGTTCCCTTGTGCGTGTCTGTCTCTGTCCAAATGCGAAGAACACCAGTCCTATCGGGGTGGGAGCCCACTCTACTTCAGTATGACCTCATCGTAACTAATTATATCTGCAAGGGCCCTGTTGCCAGATTAAGGTCACATTCTGAGGACTAGGGCTAGGACTTCACAAGGGAATTGTGAGGGGACACAGCTCAAGCCGCACCACCACCCTCCAGCCTGTCACCCGTCGTGCGGCCCCAGCTTTGGCTGTTCAGCCAAGTCCACTCAGCTGGCGTTTTATATCGACTCTAACCTTTAGCAGGGAATTCTAGCTCCTGCGCTATTCATAGCCAGCGCTGGCCTCTTGCACTTGGCATTGTGCCGCTCTGCTCGCCAGCCTGACTGCCTTGTGTGTGGCCAGCGGCCTCTGCCAGGGTGGGGCAGTGGTGTGGGCAGGGTCAGCGCCATCTGCTTGCCGGTCCCAGGGGACGTTTCCTGAATGAATGAAAACACACGTACAGATAAACAGCAGCAACAATAGATTCTGAGATGAAATTTCCAAGGTTCAGCACCTAAACTAGACAGTTTGCATGATAAAGCACATCATCGTGTTACTTTGTGATTCCGTCAGCTTAGTTCAGGTCTGCATGCCTCCGTCATGCCTTCTCTAATCCACGTTCGTCTGTGTGCCTTCTGACTCAAACACAGACATCGAAGCTGCCTCCTTCCTTCCTCGTCCCTTGCCTGTAACTAATCCCACTCTCCCACCCTCTTTCTGCCACGTGACACCTACCCCCCTGCATGGATCTTCTTGTTGTCTCATTGGCCTGCTGCCAGGGTGGGGCAGTGGTGTGGGCAGGGTCAGCACCATCCACACCTGCGCCCATGTGTGCATTTTAATATCCTTGATATGATCCTACAGACCTCACTTAATTCCTGTAATTCAAGAGGCATCCTGACAACGGATGGAGAGTCATTTCTTTTTACCAGTTAATGTGATAATAAGTCGTTCCCGATCTTTGCAGGGGGATGGGGGGGGTCGTCTTATTGTTTCTCATGAAGTGAGACTCCCGCTGCATTCTCTCTCCTTTCTGCTTTCAAAGCAGCTTCTGTGGTTGTCAAGTACGTGAATGCTCATATTTATAAAAGAACGAAACCAGCAGGGCACTCCTATTAAAGCGCTATGTAAAACACCGTGAAAAACACGGAGATGATCATCTTCCTGGATAGTCTAAACATGAATCAATGAGGTAGAAAAAACGTAATCATTTACTTCATCCTTGCTGGTCCTGTCCGTCGGAATGCCTAGCTAACGCATGAGGAAGACCTTTCTCTGTCTTCCCGTTATGCCTAGTTGGCACCTGCACATTCATTCAGCCCTCGTTAGTTCAGTGCCATTATGTTCCAGTCACACACTGGTTACAAGTCCAGGTGTTGGAGGGACTTTAAAAGAACCTCAGAGGTACCATTTTTCTACCATCAGGGCTATCCCCAAGGTTGCTACACTCTTCCCCCCAAAAATGAAACAAAATAAAGCTAGCTATAAAATATTTCCTAGAAGGCATAGTAACATCCAGGAATTTTCTCTTAGTAAATGATTAGGAGTATGTTTAAACCTTTAGCTTCAAACCTATCCACCAAGCCTTCTTTTATAATATCAAAATAATGGAAACCACCTAAATATACAATAATAGGAGACTGAGTAAGTTGATACTAAGTAAACCTACAGAAAGGAATTCAGTGCAACCATGAAAATGTAGAAGCATGTCAGGAAAAGGTGTTCACGGTTTACAAAGGAGTGTATGTAAGTATGATCCCATTTTCTCTTAAAACACATAAGCATACGCCACATCCTCCCGCCACACACACCCCATAAAAGAACTGAGCGATTAGAGCCCAGAGTATTCCCCATGACCCCCGCCCCCCACCAGGTAGAGGGGTGAGATTGTAGATGGTTTTCTTCTTTTTGCTCATCTAAATTTCCTAATTAAAAAAAAAGTATTACATTTAAAATAGTTTTTTAAACTGTTGAGAGAAAAAGCATATAAAAATAGCGTTTTCTAAATATCGCTGTGTGTGTTTGCAGCTTACAGTGACCTAGGCTACTACATCATCAATAAACTGCACCATGTGGACGAGTCCGTGGGGAGCAAAACGAGAAGGGCCTTCCTCTATCTCGCTGCCTTCCCTTTCATGGATGCGATGGTGAGTAGGGAAGATGGCTGGCTTGTGTCAACTATGGCAAAATATACAGAACGTAAAATTTAGCATTTTCACCATTTTTATGTGTATAGTTCAGTACATTCACACTATTGTGAATCTTCAGAACTCTTTTCATCTTGTAAAACTGAAACTCTGTCCCCACTTAACTCCCCATGCCCCCTCCCCAGCCCCTGGCAACCACCCTTATACTTTCTGTCTCTATGAATTTGACTCCTCTAGGGACCAAATATAAGTGGAGTCATACAGTATTTGTCTTTTTGTGAGCACCTTACTCCACTCCATATAATGTCTTCAGGATTCATCATGTTGTAGCATGTGTCAAAATGTCCTTTGCAAGCCGAATAATATTTCATTATATGTATACTTTACATTTTGTGTATTAATTCATCAATGGACATTTGGTTACCTCCACCTTCTGGCTATTGTGAATAATACTGCTATGAATGGGTGTCCAAATATCTCTTCCAGTCCCTGCTTTAGTTCTTTTGGGTATACACCTAGAAGTGGAGTTGCTGGATCATATAGTAATTCTCTTGTTAATTTTTTGAGGAATCATCGCACTGATTTCCGTAGTGGATGCACAATTTTATATCCAGTAATCAGAAGGGTTCCAAGTGACCATTGAGGGAACCAGTCCATCTTGTCAGTGTATTTTATGAGAATTGTCTGTACTTGCTGTAAATTGTGGCAGGCAGCAAGAGAGCCCATTTGAATATTTTGATTGAAATGTGAAGTTCTATTCTGATATATTCAGGATATGGGAGATCAGGATGGCTTTCTGATAAATGCACCACTTGTGTGGTATGAATACCTAAAGCTTTTTAGAATAAGAATCTCTTTAATATACTGATTGGATTTCATTCCTTTAAACACCAGCTTTACCACATTACTTAAGGGCAGCTCACTTCCATAGATTAAATTCTTTGTCAGGATTCTGAAGAGTTCTCATGCAATGCTTTTCTTCTATCCATGTGTGTTATACACATAAAGGAGACTTAGCAAATATATATATATATATATCAGTCATATCCAATGCTGAAAAATAAGTCCGAAGAAATTCGGACTTCATTTTAAATTACCCTAGGAAGGAGACTTAAAAATATGATGACCAGTACAGTTTTTACCATCCCTACCTCAGGTTTTATTTACATCACACAACTGAGGTAAGTAGATATCTGTATTAAGGTGAGGCAACAGCCCCAAATCCATGGAAGACGAAACAAGGTAAAATATATATGTGGCCCATCGTCTCAGATGTTACCAAAAGGCTTAGTTTGCCTACAGTTAGATCAATAACAGCTTTCTACAAGTTTGCAGGGTAGCCTTAACTATTAAACTCTTAGGTTTGATGCGAGGGTTCTGATTTTCAATTGCTATGACTTCACTTTAGTGGGAGAATTTAGCCATCAGAACACGATTATCTAGATTTTCTTTTTTATTTATTTTTTTAATCATCAGTTTGACACATAACCAGAAAAAAAAGAGAAAAGCTAATGGGTTGGGACCCATGGAACCAGGTTCCCCAAGGTGTCCCTGCTGGCTGACCGTGACCCCACCGCGCTTTCAGATCAGTCAGAGCTGAATGAAGTGACAGTCTCGCATCCCAGACAGAGTCCAGGATATTGCTCTGTGCCTGCCCACCATCTGCATGGGACTCTGTAAACACAGACAACCACACTCACACAGTGAATTTCAGGAAAATGGGACTATTAGTAAAAAGTGAATCGCAAACTCTTAAGTTGCCCTGTATTCCACTTTCCTTTCAGCCTGTATTCCTTTGCCATGGTAGAGTTTCTACCACTTAGTATAACACCCAAACATAGATTAGTACCCTTTTCTTCCATGCTTCATCTATCAATTCCCCAAAAGACTCCAAAGGTAAGAGATTTCTAATAAAAAACAAAATAATGAACATGTAGAAAGAGCAGGTCATCTTCCCCCAACACACACATGCATACACACACACACACACACACACACACACACACACACACCTACAGCATGGCCCAGATATGTTGGTTGGAGAGATAATATTTGAAAACCACAAAGCTTATCATCCAGATGGCTTTTGGTCAACAAAGATAGCCCCGACGCTCTTTGCAAATGTTATCTACAGTTTGCATTTCTTTTCACATTTGGCACCTTGGGACCCATAAGCTGAGGAAGGAAGTCGATGTGGCAGCTGCTATGTAAAGTCTTGGCACAGAGCCATTTAGCTCAGATGAGATGTCGTTTCTGTGTCAGGCCAGATCGGCCTTTCCAGGTTAGGAAGATGATCCTTAAACTGATCCTATCATGAACTTCAAACCTGCAGTCCCCTGCACTTTTCATTGTCTACTCCCCTTAAAGGACCTTCCTCTTCCTTCCCTCAAAGGCACAAAGTGGTAGATCAGATCCCGCCCAAACTTGAAGAGAAGGAAATAGTGGGACCTTAATTAGTCAGTGAGAACCAGTAATGACGGTGGTAACTCAGAACCAAGTTGAGCCCTCTTTATGATGGGTTGCTGCTCTGTGATTCCAACTGCTTTGAGAGAGAGAGAGAGAGAGAGAGAGAGAGAGAGAGATTCCTCCATTCTTGGTGTTTGCCCAGCTCTCCCACCAGGCACGTGACCCTAACCAGTACACTAGTCTGCATACAGTTGGTACGAGATAAATGCTGTGCAGTCACTGATTCCTCTTAAAAATCTAACAGGGATGTAGCCCCCAGGCCCAGTTATAGACATTTTACCAACCAAATATTTACCAGCCTGCACTACAGAGGTTTTAGGGGGTATAAAAACTATTCCAGGAATGCCCAGTACATCACAACAACCAGAAATAATATCATCCCAAAGGTGTACCTCATGCCAAATTCTTTTTCTTCTGGCAGGCATGGACCCATGCTGGCATTCTCCTAAAACACAAATACAGCTTCCTGGTGGGATGTGCCTCAATCTCAGATGTCATAGCTCAGGTAAGTGTGGTCTAGGGTCAGTCAGCGTTCTCAGAACTGGCTGATGCCTCCTCTCCAGTCATTCACTCTGCAGTACATCAAGCGTAAAGGTTTGTAAATCCAATGAAAAAAGGAGTCTCCTGTGATACAAGTCTGTATAATCTCACTAGAATGAGGGTTTTAGGAAGTTAATTTAGTATCAGAGGTTCTGACCTTGACTTTGAGTTTGCGTGTGGAATGACTCTAAGGTCATAGCTGGGACCTCTTGGGGTGGCCATAGGGTCACTGTGCACTTGGCCGCATGGACCCTCGGCCCTCCATGTGGCTAACAACACATGGCCTATCGCTCAGTTTTAGAGAGAGCACTTAGGAATTATTCTTAAATGTTGTTGCTAATGGCCTGGCCGGTGTGGCTCAGTGGTTGAGCATCGACCTATGAACCAGGCGGTCAGAGTTCGATTCCCAGTTAGGGCATGTGCCCAGTTTGCAGGCTCAATCCCCAGTGGGGGGCGTGCAGGAGGCAGCTGGTCAATGATTCTCTCTCATCACTGATGTTTCTATCTCTCTCTTCCTCTCCCTTCTTCTGGAAAAAAAATGTCATTGCTCATGTTGCCCCGCAGGGCTGCCATCCGCACGTCATTTCCCACATTTAAAAGAACCAGGAAGTCAGAGGCTGCCGGAGAAGAAGCCTCCCTTGCACTTTGTGCTGAGTCCAGTTCCCTGGGGTCTGGCTCCAGCCCTGGTTTCCATTCTCCGTTCTTCCTTCTTCTACCAGGGATGCCACATGAAGGATGTCGGCAGAAACTTAGATTCTATTCCTGTAATCTACTAATTCCACTTAGTTCAACATTCAGGGATTTAGGAGGAGGATTTTTCCATGAAGGAGGAGGCTGGACTGATTTCTAAGCTCCCTTCCCAGCTCTCCATTCCTTTCCATGAACATTTCCGTGCTTACCTTCCTGGTTTTCCCCTATTGTCCATGCTAGTCCTTTAGCCATCTTTTTGGAATAATCTACTGTTAAACTGCTAGCCCAGCCCAAAAGACCAAGAGTTAAATTTCCAGATTCATTGCATTAACTCCATGGATCACAATTGAAAGCAATTTAAATTCATTCCTGCTAACACTGTGTGTGCATGCCTGCACACGCATGTCACACACCTGTACACGAACCTACAGCCATATTCCTTCTCAGTATTAAACCTGGACCTGGCCCTCGCCTGTTGGGAGGGCTCCAAATTCAGAATAAACGTGTCTGGTTAGTAGGAGCCATGGAAGCTGGATTCAGTTGGCACGTGGGTTCGGTCTATTCCTGGCAAAGTAGTTATTTTAAGCCTTGTAGTTTGAGTTCCTAACACAATTTGGTTGGGGGAGTAAATTTAATTTTTGTTCTTAAATCTTATACCCCCACCCCCACCCCACCCTCAGCTTCATTTCTCTTATTACCTGAAAGCATTTGTTAATTATTGAATTTGGAAATGAGAAAATAGTTTCTAGGAAAAGTCCTTTGAAATACTACCTTGGCATAGATGGCAAGTAATAGCCAATAATAAAAATGAAAATAGTTGATAATGCTTTGGACTGCAGTGGCAATTCCCATTATTTACAAATTTTACTAAGCTAATTGGTTTCACACTGTTGCACAAAAAGGCTCTTGGTTTGGTTCAAATGTGCAGTGCTTTTCTGTGCCGCTATTATTGTAACAGTCATATGTTCCAGTGATATTGCCAAGGGATTTATGAAAAATGTTGCTGTGTGTGTTTCCTTTCATGATCACCTGCATGTTCTTAGCTTGTTCAGTATCAAAATGAGAATTCTCTTGAGGCTTTTGGACCTTCCTGGGACCTTCAGTCCTTTCATCTTTCTGCTGTCATCAGCCCTTGCCTTCGGAATCATCTAGACCCCAAGGATCTGGTCAAACACCTGGGACCCAACCTAGAGCATCCCTCTTTATCACCAGGTCTTTTCAGTTTTCATCCTAGACTTCTTTTAAAAAATATATCTTTATTGATTTCAGAGAGGAAAGGAAAGGGAGAGAGAGATAGAAACATCAATGATGAGAGAGAATCATTGACCGGCTGCCTCCTGCACGCCCCCTAGTGGGGATCAAACCCAAAACCTGGGCATGTGCCCTTGACCGGAATCGAACCCAGGACCCTTCAGTCTGCAGGCCAATGCTCTATCCACTGAGCCAAACTGGCTAGGGCTAGACTTTTTTTAAAAATCTTCCCTCTTCTCCCCATCTCTGCTGTGCTCACCCTGGTCTGAGGAACCCCCTGTCATCTGCACTACCTGAGATGCCTCCTAACTCATGAGCCTTCCCCTTTCAGCCCTGGATGTCCATCCTTCCCCCTCGGCCACAGAGATCTATTCTCAGGGAAATTCCCGTCCCCTCACAACTGCCCTAAAGCCCGCTTTAAAATTGCTTCCTGGTGTTCATGAGATAAAAGCCAGAGTCCGTGGCCTGCACGTGCTAAAGACCCACAGCCCGGCTTCCTCTCTGTGGGCCTGTCCTCCTGCCCCCTGCTCTCTGCACTCCAGTGGCAGGTTCTCCTTTTGGGGCCTCGTGAGGCCCAGCCTCTCCCACTGGGGTGTTTGTGGATCCCTCTGCCCAGAAGGAAATATTCTGCCCCAGTTCTCCTGCCTCCCTCTGGCTCCTCCCCCCTCCCCCGCTACTTCTGCTGAGGCTGTAGGTCTCAGACACACTCCACCTGGGGTGCCCTTCCTCCCCCACAGCCTGGCTCCCCAGCCATGCCCTCTTTCCCTCAGGCCCTGTCGCAGTTTGTCATCGTCGCTCACTGGCATCAGTGATCCCCATTTCTGCCTCCTCCCCTAGACTGTCAGCTCCAAGACTACAGAGCCCGGGATGTGTGATTTATCACTGACTCCCCGGCACTTGGTACGGGGCCAGCACATAACAGGCTCTCACCGGGAAAATCCTCACCATTGACACAGTAGGTTTCCCTCAGAAAATAACCCGACATTCTTCGATGGCTATATGAGGTTCAAACTCGTAATTCTAGATGGAAATGCCAAGGCTCGGGGTTATTTAAATTGATAAGTGATACCATCCACCACGAAGATGTAAGGGCTATGGTAAGTGTTGGACCACGTGGCACCACGTCCTTAAAAAGACAGGAGAGTGACAAAACCTTCACCCTGACCTCCGGCGCTTTACCGGCCGAATGCACCCTCCTGCCCCTTTGTCCCGCTCTTGCTCCCTGTGCTTGGACCATTTTCTTGTTATCTCCACACTTCTCGCTTTGCCCATGGCTCCCTGTTCCTTCAAGTCCAGATCCTCCTCCTTGATCCTGCGCGGCCATCCTGATGGCCTCGGGAGCCTTCCTGGACTTGGCAGATGAGGCGTTGGCCTTCACCTATTCATTTTTCATACAAGTTTTAAATCTCTAAATATGGCCCAGCTGGTGTGGCTCAGTAGTTGAGCATTGACCCATGAACCAAGAGGTCACTGGTTCGATTCTGGTCAGGCACATGCCTAGGTTGCAGGCTGGATCCCCAGTAGGGGTCGTGCAGGAGGCAGCCTATGGATTATGTTTCTCTCTCATCGAAGTTTCTATCTCTCACTTCCTCTCTCTCTAACAATCAATAAAAACATATATACTTTTTTAAATCTCTCAGTATAATCATCTCAGTTTACACGGTAGGTTTGCATGCATCCCATGTTACACTTGCTGTGGACACACTAGTCTGCGTTGCATGTTGGGGAGACTTAGAGGCCTCTCATTCATTAAAGAAATTTATGGGCATCTTGGCCCACTGCACAAAAGTCTCAATCTTCTGATCCAGACACAGCGGGTTCTTCACGAGGCTTCCCTGCAGTTCTTAGTTAACACGACAGTTGTTCCACTGGGAAGCAGTGGTCATGGCGACAGCCATGGGCATCTCTGCTATGTCCTTGAAGCGTGAGCATGACTGTGAGTATTGCTCCAGCTGGTGACCTCTCCCTGTGCTGCGGGCAGCCTGGTGTGTCCATGGGCCCCACAGCACCTCGGTCCTGCATTCCCTGAGGACATCTGTGCTGGGGTCTGTCTCATTTACTGGGTTTGAAATGACTACCTGGGTACAAGCAAATCACCTCTATAGCTAATACTTTTATGTCGTTCAGAGAGTTTCTTGGACCACCCTGCTTTTCTGTGGGCACGATGGCAGTGGATGTACTCATCAATGGGTCTTGCTCAGTCTCCAGCTTCGTTTCTAACTTTCTGTCGTCACTGATTTCTTAAGACGGCAGTGATCAGGAGAAGCCTCCTTTGGTCTGGGTCACTCAGTGGGGCTGTATCTTACATGCCTGCCGGTGGGTGGATATTTGCCTATTGATGTAACTCAGGGATATCTCCCCTCGCCCATTGCCCTACTTCTGCACTCAGTACGCCTCAGTGGTCTTCGGAATGTGTGGGTCCCAGGACTCTGGACAGAGGCTGGGCTGCTTCTCGGATTTCTGCAGGACAGGGAGGGTAAATAGAATATTACATTTGCTTTAGAGACTTAGTTATTATTTATAACCCTCTTGACTATTTTGTGACCTATTCCATTTTTATAAGTTGGTATTTTTAATTTAGCTTGTTTTATAATAACTGGTATTGGTACTTTTGCAGCATTTTTAGTGAATTCCATCTTATAAACACTAATGTCTACTCTTCTGTGTACTATTGTCATTGATCACCACTGTGTGTGTGTGTGTGTGTGTGTGTGTGTGTAAGGTAACTTAGGGCCTCAGGTATCTAGCCTCAAGAGGGTAAAGCTCTACTGTATCTTTTGGGTTCTGGGAAGCCAACATTTCTAGATATTATTTAGCAATAACCTTAACCATATGTGCAGTTGCCTTAAAAGAATCTTGGTGGTGAATATAACAAAATGATGATGTGCTCACCCTGTGAATCCCAAATGTCTGACCGTGAATTCTGTGAGAGCAGTATTGAGCCAGAGCCCAATTTCTGGTCTCTTTCTCATCAACATGGAGGTTTCCCCTCAGAAATCTGTTTCCTTTGGGTGCAAGAAATTGGGCTGTGCCTCTGTTGACTGGTTCTGACTCCTCTCCTCTAACTCACTCTCGTCTACCCATCTCACAGGTCGTTTTTGTAGCCATCTTGCTTCACAGCCACCTGGAGTGCCGGGAGCCCCTGCTCATCCCCATCCTCTCCTTGTACATGGGCGCCCTTGTGCGCTGCGCCACCCTGTGCCTGGGCTACTACCGGAACATCCACGACATCATCCCCGACCACAGTGGGCCGGAGCTGGGGGTACGTCCTTAGAACTCGTGGCAGCCTGTCTGTGCATCCGAGTGGGATGAAATTTTACCCCGCCCCTCTATGAGATGAGAAGTCAGTACACTGAGCACACTCACTGAGATGTCAAGTGCCGGGGAGTGTCCACAGGGACAGACAGCTGGAGAATTCATGAGCTCTGGAGGTGGAAGGGATCTTAGAGGTCGCTGTCCAGCTCCATATCTCTGTATGAAACTGAGGCTCGGTGACTCAAGTCAGGCTGAGGAGTGCATACAGCATTGATGGTTTTTCTTACTCTTTTGTCAACAGTAAATTATTCTACAGTCATCAAAGACTTTAGCCCCCGTGGTCCCTTTGAACTCACATTTGATCATTTTTCATTTACACCAGGGATCCAGGCGTTGTTCCTACACTCTGTGTTGGCCAAACACAGTCGCTCATTCAGGTACCTGGTGTAGAGTGAGAAGAGCATTTAGGCACCATAGGGGGACACAGAAAATTTTAAAATATGTTCTCCACTGTCAAGCAGCTGTGTGTCCCCATATGGCAGATAAGACCAGTACAGACACGAACCCAAGACAGTGCATAGATGCAGTGAGAACACTGCAGTGAGAGCCACTGACACTGAGAGGAGGAAGTGGGTGATGTGGCTGACACGCCTCCCTGATGGAGGCAGAGCTTGGCCTGTGCCTTGAAATTTGAGTAAGATACAAGCAAGGTATAATCTTATACAAATGGCCAAAGCTTCCTTTCCATCAGAGGTGTACACAGGGCCTGATTTATACGTATGCTGATCTCCTACCCTTAGGTACTAGACATCATTTGGATTTATTTCCATCTGGCTATAAGGCAGATGTGCGTGATTAAAAGTAGCCCTGAATAAATCACCACACTCCACCCCTGACCCCACCTTTGACCACATGTCACTTTCATCATGTCAGAACATTAATTGTATTGCCCACTTACCTCAATCCCAGGTCAGGCCACCAGTAAAACCGGAACCAGTTATTTCTGTCCCAAGGACAACCACATCGAATTGACCTTAATGATGGCACTCCATCTAAAACAGGCAGCCAGCCGCAAAGGAAAGCACATTAAAGTGGCTGAGATGGTCCCATGATGTGACTTTTACCCTCGTGAAGAACCAAAACCAATGTTATTTAGTGAAAGCTGGGCTGAAGATAGCACACATCTTTGCTGTGGCATTCTCAACAAAATTCTCACATTTTTGTTACCATGCTTTTATTTTACTTATGCTTCCAAACATTTACATGATTTCTGTTAGAGCTTTTTTTTTTTCCAGAGAGGAAAGAAGAGAGAGAGAGAGAGAGACAGAGAGACAGAGAGAGAGAGAGAGAAACATCAATGATGAGAGAGAATGAATCATTGATCGGCTGCCTCCTGCACGCCCCCTACTGGGGATGAAGCCCGCAACCCAGGCTTGTGCCCTGACCCAGAATCAAACTGTGACCTCCTGGTTCATAGATTGACACTCAACCACTGAGCCACACTGGTTGGGCCCATTAAAATAAGAACCTCTGTAGGAGATGTACATAGTGCCCAAATAACCAGGCATATTTGTGAGCTGATTTCAATTTTTTTTTTTAATTATAAAAATTTTTTACTTTTAAAAGTTGCCTCTTCAGGGGTGGGGGTGGGAGCAGGTGGAAGAGGGTAAAGGGGAGGTAAATGTTGCTGGAAGGAGACTAGACTTTGGATGGTGAGCACACAATGCAATGTGCAGGTGATGCACTGCAGAATTGTACACTTGAAACCTATATACTTTTATTGACTAATGTAACGCCAATAAATTCAATTTTTACAAAAGAAGAAGAAGAAAAAGGAGTTACCTCTTACTGACATGGCTTCCAGCCAGTCAGCTTGATGATTTAAACAAAAACTAATTTCCAACTTGTTTCTCGGGCCATGGAGTTGGTTTCTGCCTGGGTTAGAGTTGCCCTGTTTGGAAAATAGTGGTTTGAATCGCTCAAGGCTAAATGTGTGTTTTGATTTCACAGTAGCGTGCCAACTGTCTGAGTTCATTTCATTTTCACTGTACATTTTATTTTAATTCAACTTGGCTAGTCTACAGAGGTTTTTCCTTATATTGTTTTTTAAGTTTAGTGAATTGACTTGGGATTGACATCAAAAAAGAAAGGCTTTGGCTCCTAATTGTTCTTCCTGTTCCACTTCTAGCATTTAGTGAACTTTTGCCTCCCTTACTTTTTTTCTTTTTTCTTTTATTTATTTTTTCCCCATGGCCATTTATTCCCTCTGTGCCCTGTTCCACCTCCACCCACCCCTTCCACCTCTGCAATCTCCACACTGTTGTCCATGTCCATGAGTTCTTTCTCTTTTTTTTTTTCTATTTTGCTCAATCCCTCCATGCCCGCCCCCCGAACACCACCACCCCCAGAGCTATCTGCCTGCTCTCTATCTATGAGTCTGTTTCTATTTTGCTTGGTAGTTCAGTGTGTTCATTAAATTCCACATATGAGTGAAATCATACGGCTCTTGTCTCTCTCTGACCGGCTGATGTCCTGCCTCCATTTCTTGATGCAGGGAGATGCAACAATCAGAAAGATGCTGAGCTTCTGGTGGCCGTTGGCGCTCATCTTGGCTACACAGAGAATCAGTAGACCTATTGTCAACCTCTTTGTTTCCCGGGACCTTGGCGGCAGTTCTGCAGCTACAGAGGTAGGGCAGTTTCCGGGGATGTGGGCACTCCTCACTTTTGTAATGAGTAGGGGGGCGGGGGGTTACAGATTTGTTTCCAGTGCATCCTGAGAGCTCAAATAATTCTGTGATATTACATTATATGACACATTCCCACTAGGAAGCCATGAGGAGCTCGAGACTTATAATCATGTAATTCCATATCTTCGTGAGTCTTAAAGAAAACATCTCATTCATCCTTCTCAATGACCGTTTGAGGAAACGGAGGCAAGGACACATGGTTAACGACACAAAACTAGCAAGAAGCTGGGCCAGTATTAGAATCCAGGTTGTCTGGCTCTCGCCCAGTGACCTCTCCATTTTTCCACGGAGTGCGCATGATGCCTCTCCGCTGTCCTTGCAGAGGACAAGGGAGCAGGCCATCGGCTGCAGAAGGGAAAGCACCCAGAGGTTCGGGGCCCTTGCTTCCATTTGGACCCACCTGCTGTCACCTGTTTTTTCTCTGCCCTCCTGCACCTACCACCCAACCCATCGTGGCTTTGTGTGCTCTTTGGCCGCCTGCCCTCCTCCAAATGAGGAGCTCACTCCAACTCAAGAAATTTACCTGGAAACTGGCAGCTACACTCCAAAGAAAGAGTTGAATCGCTTTTTCCATCTTCCAAGGATAGTATGAACAAATAAAATGACTTCATTAGTTTCCGCCGCCGCCTCTGCCCGCTGGAGAACCAAGCCTGTCTCTGGAACGGCCGACCCTTCAGGAAGGCCAGTGGCTGCTCCTCAGGCCTCCTGTTTACACTGCGCCCTGACAGCGCTGTCAGCATGTCTCCAGCCTGGGGTCTCCTGCCAGTTTCCATGTGCTGGAAGCCGCTCCTGGCGGCTTGGAAAGGGGAGCACATAAATCACAAGCAGAACCCTTTCTCTCGCCTCAGTTTGTTCCTGGATTTTGTGTATTGAGTCATATCATCTTGGGTGGCTTCTGACACACAGCAGCTGTGTTACTTAAACACGGCAGTCTAGGTTGCCCAGTGAAGAGAAGGTGACCCCCATCACCTGTGTGCTAGAATTCCATCCTCCCCTTACAATAAATAAGGCAACTAATTTATTTATTAGAGCCCTTTCTCAATTGACCTCCATGGCATAGAGGCACAGCCCATGGGGTACAGAATGGACATCTATTTATCATCTACTTGTGCACATTTCGTTGACTCCCCATAACCCTGTGGGATGGACGTTGTTATTCTCCTGGTTCTGCTGGAGGAGCGGAAAGGGAGGCCTGGCTGGTGAGCACACAGCTGGCAAGTGAGGAAGTAGAGGTTTGAATCCAGGCCCTCCTGATTCCGGCGCTCGTGTTTCTTGCACTGTACCGGTCCCCACCGCAGTTTCTTCAGCCTGCTGGGAATGCCCCTCATGTTTCTGGCGTGGCTGTGACATCAATTAAAATTGAGGGAGCCTGCACTCCTCCTTTGCTAGCTAGCTAGCTAGAGAGTTGGACTCTGCCACGGTGTAGGGTTAGATGCTTTGTTTTCATTTCCTTCCTTGTCGTACACAGAAGGACAGAAACCCGCTTTCATGGAAGAACATGTTTGACTTCCTGTAAGCAATAGTTATTTAGTTTTCTTAAATTAAAACTAAACACTGGGCTATGCTGCCCGCACAGATTGGAAGGGAGTTGAGTCAGAAGGAGAGAATACGTAAAGCCATCAACCAACACGTGCCATCAGTCGCCCTGAAGGACAGGATGGAGGCGGAGAGTGGATCCTCAGCAAAGGCCACCCAGAGAGCAGCGAGGACTCAGAATCACAATTGGAGATTCAAGAATTGGGCTGGACTAGAGGGTTTGGTTTGGCTCTCTGGGGAGAGCAAAGATTTTGGAGTCTGGACTTGGGTTGAACTGGCTTCTCGAGCCAGCAATCTGGACTTGGACCTGTTTCTTGTTGGACTCGTGTAAAACAAAACCCATGCTCCTGGTCCCAGGTGCTCTCCCGGGGCCAGCTCGTGCCACCCCCAGGGACACAGTGGAGCACCTGCCCCTCCCAGGCCACCCTGGGGTAGGCCGATGCCTGTCACCCAGTGTGGAGTGACTTGTCAGCGGTGGCCACACCGAGGCAGCTTGCTTTGCCACATGCAGACGGCCGCTACTGGAGATGCTCTCCGCCAATGCCCAACGCTAACTTTGCTGGCTCTTCCTCTTGCAGGCAGTGGCGATTTTGACAGCCACATATCCCGTGGGTCACATGCCATATGGTTGGTTGACGGAAATCCGTGCTGTCTACCCTGCTTTTGACAAGGTGAGAACCTGTGCGGCGTGGCGTCTGAAACACACTCTGTAAATTAGCATTTGATAGACAGGCATCTCTGGAGAGGAGCACTTCGATGTTTGCCAATCTCTCCTCCCTTGGGAAGGCTAATGTGATATTGGGGAGGACGAAGGTAATTGTGGAATATTTCCCTCAGAAAATAACAGAGGTAAATTCAAGCTTCCCTTGATGCTGAGCCTATAATACCGCTCCAAAATGATGGTCACCTTTGGGTTAATCTACTGAGAAATTATGTGTTTGCAAAAGGGAAAATATACTCTCAAAAAAAATTAATACTTTGGATTTTGTTTCTGTGGGGGTTTTTTTGTTGGGTTTTTTTGCTGTTTTTTTTTTTTGTTTTTTTTTTTTAGTTAAACTAACACTAACTTCGTAGCAGTTGTGAAGGTACAGACAGAAACTGTGTGCTTGAGCTCAGAAGTTTACGGAAGTCTTCGGTGTGCGGGGTTCGTGCACGCTGGAGTGGTCTCTGCAGCGGGGTGTGGGTCCTCATGGGTCTGGATGCAGCAGCTTGTTGCAGCTGAAAGCTGTTGACGGCAGCTCTGTCCCCTGCTGCTGCTGACACAGCCCAGGGAGCACATAGCCCTCTGGTCATGTGGCCTTTGGCTGGGTCAGGAACATCCTGTAAATGTCTGTGTCATCAGGCTTAATTAATTGAACCTAAAACTAGTAGCCTTTTATCCTAAAACAAATGTCCCAAAAATCAGACCCCAAAAAAGATAGTGTGCAACGTTTTAGAATAAAAAATGGGGAAGAAGCACACAACTGCTCCCGGTACTCTTAATAGCAACTATTTGGCCTTGAGTTCCTATAGAACTAGTTCAGAGCCATTGCCAATGTCATTTTATCTTTTTTTCATTTCTTTTTCAATTAAAGTTGACATACAACATTATAATAAGTTCCAGGTGTACATCCTAAGGATTAGACATTTGTATACCTTACCAATATGATTTTATCTTATCCCAACAAAAGCTCTGGGAGGCAAGGAGAGGAGCCTCTTTGCCCAGGGGTCTCCAGCAAGAGAAAGAGACCTTATTCCCACACCCACAATCACCCATGAATAGCAACTCACCTCAAAACACGCCTGGGATTGCCACCACACAGCCTCACGGGAGATAGAGCAGCTGTGGTACCCAGAACGCTTTACCGGGAGTGGAGTTTCCCCAGGAGACCATCAATTGGACCATCCACCTATTGCAAACATTCTTTGCAACCTCAGGATGCAGAGCATCTCTTAGAAAAAATGCATTTGATTTCTGCTTCCCAGGCCTCTGAGCGCAGACTTCAGAGGCACGAGGCACTTGCCGGAGAAGGTGGGCAGCCCGTGTTTGAGTGGGTTTCATCCAGTCTACTGATAGAAATCATTGTTTTCATTTCAAGGAACATGTGTATACAAGTAAATCCTGGAAAACCAAAATGGGTTTAAGTCTTCTGCTAAATCTCTGGCTCTAGGAGAACAAGATTATATAATAAAACTTGATGAGCGTAGCAGGTATTGAAGCATTAGAACCTCCTGGCCATGAAAGTCTCATCTGAAATTGTTTTTGACTCCCTTGAAATAATAAAACTTAACAATACAGCACTGTACAGTTTCGCTAGGCGCATCCAAGAACAACATTGTTTTATGCGTGATCACAGAGGCTGGGCGCTGTGAGACAATTCCTTTAACGAGCGTACCTCCAGCCAGAAGCTGGAGTTACTTACTCAGAGCCCTTTAGAAACCCCACCCATTGTTTCCAGGCATTCTGTTGGGCTGCTCCGGCCGTTCCTGTGAATGCGTCCATTCACCCAAACCTTAGGCACCTCTGTGTGGACTTCCAGAATTTGCCACACTGACAGTTGAAATCCTTCGCCTCTTTGTGGGTTGCAGAATCAGAGATTTAAAATTTCTCGCATAACTTCTGAGGGTGCTAGCTCAACATTGAACTAGTTTTCCACTTGCACACATTCTCTCTAATGTTCAGTTCTCATCAGCGAAAGAGCATGTTTCTGAGCAGATTGGACAAACAACACAAAGCGCAGATGCCAATCTAGTGACACGTGCTAGTTTATTCTAACCGTACTTGCAGAAGTAGTTGCTATTTTAAAAATAAAAGTGTCCCTGAAGGAGCCGTGGCACGTCACTGTCACCTCGGGCGACCTGTGCTTAATTCCTTCCAGCGTGGCTGCCTTCTTGCTTGGCCCACCCGGGCACCACTCACACAGATCCCTGGGGTGGATGGAGATGGACAGATGTCCTACCACTGTGGCCTGCACTTGGCCATGGCAGCAGATATGCATTAGAGACTGGAAATAAGGCCATGTCAGCTCATCCAGCGTTTGTGCTGGCTGCATCTGCGAGAGGAAGGGATTGGAGAGATTGCTTTGGCCTCTGAAGTCGGGGAAACATCAACAGTTCCTTTCCAGTTGGACCTGTGATATCTCCGCTGTGTGTCTCTCTTTGGGTGGGATGCGGAGTATGTTTTCGTTAGTCTGCTCTGGGACTAATTGGATCCACAACGAGTAGGGAATTGTTCTGCTCTGCTGGTTTCCACAGTAGAGGGCCAGGCACGCACTTGGACTGGGTAATGGCACGCTGAGCAGTGGCACTGGGGTGGCTTCAGCAAGGCTCAGATTCAGGGATGTGTAAGAAAACAGCGGAGCCATCTGCATTATTTGCTTAAAATTCAATGTCACAAAGGCTGTTGAGCACTTTTTGTGCTTGGGGTAGATTGTGCTGAGTTGCAGGAGCTAAAGAGATGGGTGAGAAACACAGTTCTTTATCTCAGAGAGCGAGCCCACCCCTCACGGGGCTTTGACACGAGCCCCAAGTACAGGCTAGGATGCCAGCCCTGGCTTCGGGGTCTACACTGCAGGAAGGGGCAGAGGCAGTTTGGAGGCGAACGATCAGAGATGCTGTGAGGATGATGGGCTGTGAGGATGATGAGCCTTGAATAAAGGGGTGTTTTTGATCATCAGAAGATCCAACGAGAGGAGGAGGAACAAAAGTACAAAAGCCTGGAAACACCAAGTGGGTGAGGGGAAGAGCAAGCGTTTGGGATTCGGGTTGAAAAGTCAAGTCACGGCGGGGAAGGGAGTCTGGGTCAGGGCAAGCAGGGCCTTGATGGTCACTCCATCTTAGATTCCGGTTGGTGGGGTGGAAGGGCCCAAAGATCAGAGAGCAGGGCCATGGCATTCAGGGAGGTGCCCACAGCGTCCAGGAGAGGGCACACAAGGCCCTGGACTGGCTAGGTGGGCACCCAGCATCAAAGGGAGGGTACTGGCCACTGTTCAGTGTAGAACTCTCTCTGGATACTGTTCACATCCAGAAACCTGACAGCTGTCTGAGAGAGAGACTCAAAGTGACAGCCATCTTCCAAGCTGTCACTTGAAATCTATACTTTAGACCAGGGATAGGGAACCTTTTTCCTGCCAAAGGCCATTTGGATATTTATAATATCATTTGCGGGCCATACAAAATTATCAACTTAAAGATTAGCCTGCTATATTTGGTCAAACATTTTATTAACTCACCCCTAACGCCTTGGCAGGGCCAGATCAAATGATTTCACAGGCCCTATCTGGCCCTTGGGCCGATGTTCCCCACCTGTGGCTTAAACTCATCACAAAGAACACAAATGAGATGCTTTATTTTTTTTTAATTCTCACCCGAGGATATTTTTCCATTGATTTTTAGAAGGAATGGAAGAGAGAGGGAAAAAAACAGAGAGAAATGTCAATGTGAGAAAAACACATCGATTGGTTGCCACCTACACAAGCCCCGACCAGGGCCCGGGCTGGGAAGGAGCCTGCAACTGAGGTGCGTGCCCTTGACCAGAATCAAACCCGGGACCCTTCCGTTCAAAGGCGGATGCTCTATCCACTGAGCCGAACTGGCTAGGGTGAGATGCTTTTTAAGGTGCACATGCGGTCAGTCGAGGATGAGTCCAGTCACCATTGTCCTTTCTCCCCCTAGAACAACCCCAGCAATAAACTGGTGAGCACGAGCAGCACGGTCACGGCGGCCCACATCAAGAGGTTCACGTTCGTGTGCATGGCCCTGTCGCTCACGGTAAGGAGAGACACCCCCCTCACCATGTTTTTGGAAAAGGAGAAATGGTTATATTTAAGGAGATGTCATGTATCCCCAAATGTGATGATGTTATGCTAGGTTAATTAACAACCTCTTCAAAACATTTTACGAGTGATTGTTATTTGAGGAAGCCATTGAATCCAGGAACCAAGGGTCGCGGTGTTTCTTGGGACTTCTTACATGCTGAAGGAAGGCGGACCTTGCCTTTAATTTTAATCAGACTCTTGTCTTGCTGAATAATTTCCAGCCCATTTCTGAACATCCGGAGTCAACCGTATTACCATCCCTGTCCCTTTTCCAAACTTAACGGGTGATATTTTGATTTCCCCGGTGAAAGTTCCTTTCCTATTTACGTTGATGCTGATGTCGCATATTTATTTATTCTCCATGCAACACGTATCGATGGAGCGCCTACAGCATCCCACTCTCTGTGCCATCTTCCCAAGTACAGCTGTGAGCAGGTGCCCCTCACACTGTGCCGCTGGCATGGCCTGTGGGTGACTGCACAGCCTTAAACAGCACACGTCCTTCCTTTATCAGCTCCTCATGGCAGTTCAGATGTAGAAGATAATGCTCAAAAACATGGAGAAAACACATACACGCACTATAATCCAAAGCACAGGGTATATAATTTAAGGTTGTTTATAACACTTATCAACAGAGCACACACACCATTTATAAACAAGCTTACATGGTAGACTGTGCCTTTTGGATGGAGACAAGAAGAAGATCAAAGGAAGTACTGGTCTTTTGAACTCTGTTGGTTTCCCTTTGTTGTGGTGGTGGTCCGCATTGCCTGTCAAGTCCTGTAGAAATTCCCCTTTTTTCTAGTACAATATGAGGATCTTGCTGAAATGCCTGTGTGGGTGGAGTTCTCAGCAACAGTGACTGATAGCGGAACCTAAGGCAGTAAGAGGGATTGGGTTCCGCTGGTGACAGGGACACAGTAACTGTAGCCCTTCTTACCGTCATCATGAGAACTGTTTAGCTGGATGAGTCCTGGCAGTGGTTCTTTAAAATCAAGCCCTATGTATGTTTTAAACCTTTAATGGATTTTTAAAAAATCCACAGCTTAATATTGGACTCATTGATCCAACACCTGAGTAGATTATAACAAGGGCAACATGGGACAAAGAGCCCATCACATAACACCTCTGACAGCTGATGACCTTGTGTCTGTCCTCAGCTGCCCGTCACTCTAACCCAGCCCCTCATGAAACTGGTGGGGTGTCAGAAATATATTCCAGTGCCACCTGACCCGAGGAATTTCTGGTAGCATGCCTGTGCGAGTCAGGACAGGTTACCCCGTGCAACCCGGCTCCCCTGTGTTCATTATTTCTCTCTATGGTGTGCAAGTTTTTCCCTAATTCCCTAAAATATTAGCAAAACACAGAACAACCTTGAATCTGTTTAAGAGTCATTTAGGAAAAACAGAGAAGGTTTCTGTTGCAGGAACAGGCCTCAGCGTTGGGAGACGGGTTAAATGACTGGGAGTCGCACGTCAAGTTGGTTGGGATGCCAGGTTCTGTGACTTGGACCCCTTTCGCATAGAAAGCTGGAAGCTCTGGGTTGTTGCTGGCTCTCCTCATCTGTCTCCTTTCGCTCCATTTAACCATCTTCCCACCGCTACAGTGAGTCCGAGGGGGAACTTGACCAGATTGGATTTGAGGATATTTATCTCTCCTTCAATTCACAGGCAATAATCTGTACTTCTAAATCAAGTACAAGTTTATTTTAAATTGGCCACTATCTAAGATCTAGAAACATGTTTTGGTTTCCCATGTAGTGGTATTTTTAATGTAGTTATTCTAATGCTACCTTCTGTAGCTAGAAGTACCTGAGGGTAGATTTTCACCAAGAGATTAGAGACTCAGAATCCTCTCTTGGAAAGGAACTTGGAGATGACCCATCATATTTTAGGAAAGGAAATGACTCAGGGAGGTTGAGGGACTTGTCCGTACACCAGCTAGAAGCCAGCCTTGCAGGCTCATTCTTCACGCCCCACCCCCTTCCTCTGAACCACACAAGCAGGTGGTGCTGGTGGTGCTGGTGGTGGAGATGGTGATGGTGATGGTGATGGTGATGGTGATGGTGATGGTACTGGTGCTGGTAGTACTGGTGATGCTGGTGGTGCTGGTGGTGGTGGTGATGGTGCTGGTGGTGTGTGTGTGTGTGTGTGTGTGTGTGTGTGTGTGTGTTGCTGTCACTTAAGGCCAAGAGGTAGGTGAGTCTGCTAGTATGCCATAAATTACATTGCTTCCCACACTAGGGTACAAGGTCTGAGGCTAGTGACTGTTACTACCTAAGGCTCTGGTTCTCTTTTTTAAAAAAAGTTAAAATGCGTTTTTACTCTGGATCTTTGTGAGCTTTGCTTTTTGATGTCAATGGGTGGTAAAAAGGGAAAGTGTGAATTGGCACTCAAACGTGAATCTTCTCCTCTGATTTGTATGGGGTGAATTGTGTCCACCAAAAATTCCTATGTTCAAGTCCTAACTCCCAGTACCTCAGAATGTGGCCTCGTTTGGAAACAGGGTTAAGGTAAGGTCCTGGTGGGTTAGGGGACCCCTCACCCAGTGTGCCTGGTGTTCTTATAGCATGTGGACACAGACAAGCACACAAACGCCATGGGAAGACTGGAGTTCTGCTGCCAGAAGGCAGGCGATGCCTGGAACAGTCCTTCCCTGGCACCTGCGGAGGGAGCATGGCCCTGCCCACACCCCGCAACTGTGAGGCAATACTGCCTTTTGCTGTGGTTCCAAACCCCCGTTTTGTGGTACTTGTTGCAGCAGCTCTAGCAAACTCATACACTGATGTTTCTGAAAGAAAGGGATCTTGTCATTTATGGTCACATGGATTGATTAACCAGACATAACTATTCAACTGACTTATTTTCTTTTTAAATTCTCCATTTAGTGATTCTGTAAGACACCTCTTTTATTTTATTTCCATATTCTCCATGTAATAATCTGAGTGAAGGATTTGCTTAGACATGTTTTTCACGTGGTACGGCCCTGTGCCCACATTTAGATGCTGAATTATATCTTTGCAAATGGCTTTGTGGGGGGCGGTGTAATTGGCATCATAGCATCCACTAGAAGTATTTGTGCTAGATTTAAGTTACTTTGCTTTTTTGGTTTTATTCTGCTTTCCATTAGTCAAATAATGCAATGTACCTCAGCCAGGCCCTTGCAGAGTCCACTCACTGTTAATACTGAAAAGCCAAAACAGTCCCCAATTTTCAGGGAAGGGTTTGGTATCTGGCAATCACAAACTGTTGTGCACGAAAATGGCAAAGTAACTCAGTGGGGATTGACTCAGAGACGTCCAGGAATTTTATTTTATTACTCTCTATGGCTTTTTTTTTTAATCATTTGTATTCGTCTCAGCTTAAAGACAGAAGCAGTCTGGGCACATTACAGTGTGTAGGGCCCAGACCTCAGCTGGATCAGAGGCCTAGTCCAGGCCCTCCTGACAATAATCACAGTATGAGTTGGGGGCCAGACACGCTGTGGTGCTCGTGGCATCTCGGTTTCCGATCTCAGCACCTGCTCACACCCCCATGTGCGTGAGGCTCTGACCACGACCACGTTCCTGGTGGCCTGAAACTCTCCATGTCCTATTGACTGACATCAGGTCAGCATGCGGGGAGTCAGCAAAGCTCAAGTCAAACACCTCAAAGGAGTTTTTGTAAATGATCTCAAATATATTAAGAAACACCCAGTAGAGGAAGGTCCATCAGGTATTGTGTTAAATGAGCGTGACAAGGACACAAACACCCAGTTAGCATGCTAAGTGGTCATTTGTGTGTTTAATGAAGCCAGAAACCATTAGGCCCAGGAACTAAGGAAAACAATCAGAAAACCACCTGGTCCCACAGAGGTAATTCCTCCTGGCTGACAAACTACAAAAGTGACCTGGAAAGTAAAGTTGCTGTTTGCAGAGTGACCTAGGGCCTTTGCTGAAAACATTTCTTATTTTTATCCTAATGAGTTTATTACTGCATTTCCAACTCTGGGTCAGACGGCCCACTGGTTCCAGCACAGTGAAGTCAACACGAGTTGTGCCACAAGATTATTCTGCAGGTCTTCCCGGACCTGCTTCTGTCTTTAAGCTGAACAAGGTTCAGAGAACCAGGACGTGATGCTGAGAAAACAATAGTGCCTGGAAAACCTACTCACCTTTAACCAGGTGCCAGGAGGTTTGCAAGAGCCTGTCTGTCTCTGAGAGGTGGCACTTAACCATGTGGTTTGAAGAATGAATTGGCCTTTACAAAAAAAAAAAAGAAGTTTCTAGAAATCCATGGTGCACCCGCCAAGCCAGTGCCTCTGAACTGATGCCCTGCATGCCCCTGGGACTCTTGTGGCACCTGACTGCCCTCTTTTATTTTAAAGGGTTGAGAAGAAAGGGCCAAAAAAGAGGGATTTAGCTCAAGCTTGAATTCGGGGCCACATAGCACAGTGCTTATGGATGTGGCCCTTGAAGCCCCAGGGCCTGGGTTCAAGCCTTGGCTCCATCGCCCACCAGCTGGGTGGCTTTGGGAAGGTCCTTAAAGGTACCAGCCTCAGCCTCCCTCACTGCCACAGGGGGAACAAGAAGACCCATCTTTTAAGACTTTAAAAAGAATCCAAAGCTTACATAGCACCAGGCTTGGTGTCAGCAAAGAGTGGGCGCTGTCGCCTAACGTTCCCAGAGCCAGGGGCTTCCGAGTGAGGGTCAGAATCTGTCCCCTGCCTCCAGCCCCGGTGGCTCTTGGTAGAATGGATGCCAATGAATAACGTTTTCCTCCCTGAGGCCTGGGAAGGCTCTGGATGTCCCATCACACCTTCCTGTCTGTAGCCTCCAGTCCCAGGGGCAGACAGTGCCCACTCCAGTGGTCGGTTGTCTTGCTAATTTGAAATGTCGGTTCCCCACGAGCTGCAGTGAGAGCAGAAAGAGAGAAAGTGATGTATTTAGGCTTCTGGCTTAGACGTCCCATAGAT